TTATTGCCCACAATTGCCTTTGCTATTCTAGGTCTTTTCCAGTTCCAAATAAATTTTAGAAATAATTTCTGTATGTCTGTGAGATATGTTGGTGGTAGTCTGATAGGGATTGCATTAAATCTGTACAGTAATTTTGGGAGTATGGCCATCTTCACAATGTTGGTTCTTCCTATCCAGGAGCATGGGATATCTTTCCATGTTCTGAAATCCTCTATGATCACTTTTTTAAGAGTACTGTAATTTTCCTTGAAGAGATCTTTGACTTCTTTAGTTAGGTTAATTCCAAGATATTTCATTTTCCTCAGTGCTATTGTAAAAGGTATCGTTTCTATAATTTCCCTCTCAGTGTGTTTGTTGTCTGTGCAGAGGAATGCTATTGACTTTTGGGTATTGACTGTATAACCTGCTATGCCACTGAATTTCTGGATTAATTCTAGTAGCTTTTTGGTGGAGTTTTTGGGTCTTCCAAGTAAAGTATCATGTCATCTGCAAATAAAGATAATTTAACTTCTTCTTTGCTTATTCTTATTTTTTTTATTTCCTTCTCTTGTCTAATGGCTGTAGCTAATGATTCCAGAATGATATTGAATGGGAGTGGTGATAGAGGAATCCTTGTCTCATACCAGATCTAAGAGTAAAAGATTTCAGTTTTTCCCCATTTTGGATTATGTTAGCTGTTGGGTTTTCATAAATGGATTTTACCAGATTGAAGTCAAGGCCATCTATTCCAATTTTCTGTAGGACTTTGAACATGAATGAGTGTTGGACTTTGTCAAAACCTTTTCTGCATCAATGGAGATGATCATTTGGTGTTTAGATTTTGCTCTACCGATATAGTGTATTACATTGATAGATTATCGAATATTGAGCCATCTTTGCATCCCTGGGATGAATCCTACCTGGTCATGGTGTATGATCTTCTTGATGATTTGCTGTATTCTATGTGGTAGGATTTTATTGAGGATTTTGGCATCTATGTTCATGAGGGAGTTTGGCCTGTAGTTCCATTTCTAAGTTCCGTATTTCCCTGGTTTTGGTAACAGTATAATACCTGCCTCCAGGAATGATTTTGGGAGGATTGTTTCCTTTTCAATTTCATGGAACATTTTGAGGAGTATAGGGACTACATCTTCTGTAAATGTCGTGTAGAATTCAGCTGTGAATCCATCCAGACCTGGACTTTTCTTTGCCGGTAGGCTTTTAATTATATCTCGTATTTCATTGGCTGTTATTGGGGTACTGAGAGTGGTTATATCTTGTCGATTCAG